ATCGAGCGATATTGATAATGCGTGCACCACCGACAGAAGGCGAAGCAAAAGCAAATCGAGCGCTCCCTCAATCGCCACCTGAAACGTGCTCGCATGAACACTGTGTTCCTTCCACTGTGTAGCGTTAAAGTTATCCTGAACCATCTGGATGAGGAATGCAACAAACTTCAAATGCTTAGAAGTTCTTTGATGTTCCACAAGAACAAATCATAAGCAAAGAGTGCTACAGGACTGTGTCTGCACTACAAAGCACCTCAGCTCATTCAACCGCCTGGAAGTATATGGCAGACTAAGGATGCACGAAGAAAAAAGAAGCAGCGTGGAGGTCGCTAACGTGAACTGTCCAACATCGAGTCAGATGTTCACGAAAGCGAGCCTGTGGCCATGTGGCCAAAGATAACTGTCCACCAATCACAGCGAGTAACAGAAGTTTCAGGAATTGTCAGCTTACTGGAAAAAAGAGACGTTTCCCTCACGGGCAGAAACAACCGAAATGCCACATGTCACAGGGCAAATGGAGAGGATCCTCAGAGCTATGAATTTCAGTCCCATCCATCATGCAGGTACAGTGAATGATGTACTTGTTTTTGGGAGGTGCACTCAGGTCGGGTGGATGAACACCTTATTTGCCCTGCATAAGAGCTTTAAAGAAGACCACAACAACGAAACCTGTTGTAAACATTCGAGCCGGACAAATGGTACTTCAAAACAGCAGCCGCTTCACGAGCACATCTGTTTGAAGTCTTACTTCAGGTGACTTTAACAGGAAGGGGAACTGGAGCAGCGCCAGCCTGTTCTCGTCATCAAAAATTGCACATTTGTAAACAGGGGATCTATTCTCAGCATAGTAGTGGGAGTGTTATGACAGAAACTCCTACACGAAAGGAAACCGCTTTAATTCCATTAGGGAGGTTGTGGGAAGTATCCATAGATGCAAAGCAAGGCTGGACGTGACATCCAAGGTTAAGGATTTTTGCAGGCTGCCTGACCAGGCCACACATCCTATGTGGTGTTAATAAAAAGTGTGGCCGGGTCCAGACCGCACAAGAAACGATGACACACTGGAGTTGCTCAGTAATTACATTTGCAATGTAAACGTGATTTCTAAGAAGCCTTCAAAAGTCCTGCGTGTCTTCTCTGATGGCAAAGACTTCTTTAAAAATGCTAGCTGACTGTACAGACAATAAGCTTCGGGAAATGTTTGTTTAGTGTGAATGGTTTCAGGAAAAGTGTGTTAGCCTCTGGTAAAAACTGCAATATTTAATTTAATAACTAATAGTTAAACTGCAAAAGCTAAAAGGAGACTGTTGGAGGGAGTTTCTGGAATCAACCCTTTGAATTTCCTTCGGTGATGTACAAGAGTGAAAACGTCAAAGACTGCAGCACTGAGAGAAATACCTAAAGACAGTAAAACAGAAATACCTAAAGACAGTAAAACAGGGGTTTCAGACACATTGCCAGCACAGCCTTGTTCAAGGCTAATGTCCACTGGGTGATTGTAAAAAAGGAGGAAAAAAAGCCAGCAAAATTATCAGATTTTCAATTTAGCACGTCTTCTGCCTGGTTATCAGTTAATCTATTCCAAGAAAGAGCTCTGAGTCATCCTTAGATTTACAGCCTTATTACGGACAGAAGTTCAGCCATGGAGCTGTTACTTTGTAACTACTGAGTCAGTGAGGATTTCCCAGGTAACTGCACATTTTCATCCTGTGCTCTGTATGAGGAGGAGGGTCAATCCCTCCCATCAGCATTTTCACACATAAATGACACGTATAACTCATCATCATGTAAAAGAAAGAAATAATACAAGTCAACTAAAGACAGAAAACTGAAATATCTATAATGATATTTATGCGTAAATCTTGTTATCTCAACTAATCTGGACGTACCTTTGGCCAGTCAACTGAGGTTTTACTCCCTAAAGAAGATATGCTTAATAAGTTATAAATACTATTTTAGTGGGAGTGTGCAAGAAATGCCATAGAACAACAACAATGGACAGTATAGCCAGTGTGGGAGAGAGTACAACAGTGCAGCGTCTAAAGCGTGGAAGTACTGACATTACTTTGAGTTTGATTCTGTAAAAAGTGACAAAAACATTAGCATCTGCTGTTCACTGTGCGTGAGAAGAAAACTTCTTTCTACAGCAAAAAATTTAACTTCAAATCTGAGCAAACAGCTAGCACGCTGAATGTGAAACCCCTGGATCCTCCCACTGACATGACCGCTGGGTCACTGGGCAAACCTCCGCCTGCCGCACTCCTGCTATACAGGTGAAAATAGATTTAAGAGCCGTTGAATCTTTGATTTTATTTATTCTCTGCTGTGTTTTACTCGCATCTAATTGAAAGAGTGAGTTTAAACACAAAACATTTTATTTTCTATGCTGGAATATGCAGAAAATAGGTTTAAATGTTAAAGACATTTCTTCCAATCAGAGGCTGTTGCATATAATTTAATTTTTGCTTGATGCAATGTGCATAAA